CCAGCAAGCGGCGCGGTTAGAGTAGAAGACAGGATCCTGCTTGCACAGAATGGCCTTTGTGTACAGATCAATCGCCCTGTTGTAGTCCTTGGATCCATACGCCTTGTTGCCGGCGGCCTTGAGCTTCGCGGCGAAATCCTTGCGCTCCTGTCGCAAGTTAGAATGGCATTCGCAGGTTAACATTGGTGATTTCACTCACGTCGGCGCTCAGCGCGGCTGCAGTGGCTTCGTCAACTTCGGGCAGCTCTTCCTCGCTATCCTCAGACACGGAGGCCTTCTTGGTAGCTATGACGGCATGTCAGTCTAAGCTACGTCAACAGCGTCAATGGGCGCATACCTGAAGCTTCCTCACGAGCCTTCTCCTCCTCAGCAGCTTTCTTGGCGCGTTTCCTCTCCTTCTGCTTCTTGTTCTTCTTGGACTGTGGTGTCTCAGGTTTCGAGCTGTTGGAGTCTGAAGTCAAGTAGTAGACGGCGCCAGCACCGGTTACGAGGACCGTAACGCCAGCAATTGTGTAGACAACAGCCTTGTGCTCCGAGGCCCATGTTGATATCCTGTCCCAAAGCGATGCGGTGCCCTGGGCGGTGACGTTGGTGTCGAGGGCAATGGGTTGTGCCGGGCGCGGAATGGGGAGCTCAGAATTGCTCGACATGGCGGAGACTCTGCGGGCGGGATTCGAGGCGAGGTTTAATGCAGAGTAGCTGGCAGCTCCGCAGGGGGATGGGGGATGGAGTGGGGGGAGGTCGATGGAGAGGAAGAGTGATGCGAAGGCGGCTCACTTTTCCGGCTTGTGGATTCGAAAAGATCGTCACTCGTCAGCGTCACAGAAGGCGGCCCGCCGCTAAGGCGCACGCCAAACCACGACACACGACTCAACGCCGACACGCCGAGCATCAAGGTACGTCAACCAAACCTTTCATCTGGCTGCTACTACTGCCCCGGGTTTGTCTTTTTTTCGATGTTCTACCAGCTCGTTTCCAGAATTGAATTTACTTCAACCACCTCATTCACGTGACACTATTTTGACTACAGGTCTCCGCTTTTGACGACGAGCTTTTTCACGTTAGGCGAATAGGTCTTTGACGGTTTCGATTCTTTTTCTCATTTCAGTCTTCTCAAGTTTCCTGCAATGTCTCAAAATACGGAACCGTCCTTTTCAGTTTTCACGTCTCTCCGCTACGACCCCCAGCTGGCAACCTGTCATCAAAACAACAACCTATTATGGAGCTTCCAATCCAACAGCCCATTCTACATGCTGCGATACCACCGCGATCGTATGCTTGAGGCGGCATTGTTCTTTGAGTGGAGCTCCGTGGCCGATCAATTGGCGGGTGACGAACGCGGCGAGATGCTCGAGACGGCGTTGCTGCGCGAGGTGCAGCTATGGCTTCTTGCACGCAAGCCACATGGAGATGTCGAATTGGCATCACGGGAGAAGCCGCTGGAGAAGAGCCCGTTGAAAGTAGGAGCCATCGACCAGAGTTGTCCTTCCAGATATCACTGACAGCGCCAGATCCGCGTTCTCTTCTCGCCTACCGGCGCCATGCAAACCGACATGATCCCCGTCCCTCAAGTCTCTCTGCAATCCCTCTTCCCTCCAACCCTAGATCTTCCTCCAGACTCCAGCAAGCCTGACCCAACATTCACATTGACCCTTGACACCGACTCCACCCCCACCTCTCCTCACACCCTTCTCAAAACCACGCACCGTCCACACTACGACGCCGCGCGCATCCGATCGATTCCCAAAGCTTTGCTACCTGGCACAGCGCACGAGGTGCTACTCTGGAACAGCGTCGGCGAGGTGATTGAGGGCACCTTCACGAGCGTCTACCTGTTCCGGGGCGGACGCTGGGTCACGCCACCTGTCGGGGGACCAGGCATCCTCCCCGACGACGAGCGCGGTTCCAATTTTGAGCGACAGTTAACGGCTGGCGATGAAGGTGAACTCCGCAGCCCCTTTAGCGGGCGCTGGGGACACACTCTTCGCTCGTCCACTTCGGCCATGGTTGAAGGCATGGGCGGACAGAGGGGAACGACGCGGCGATGGGCGCTGCGAGGTGGTCTGTGCATGGAGGAGCCAGTCGAGGCGGCGACAGTAAAGGTTGGCGAGAGGTGTTGGGTCAGTAATGGGGTCAGGGGTTTTGGTGTAGGGGTTGTGGTGGAGAGAGAAACCTGAGTGAGCGGCTGTCCTTGTTTGGAGAAGGAGTCAACAGGCAAAGAGAATCAAGCATAAAGCGATCATTGCAAAATTCTGGGAGTGTGTTTGCAGTGACTGCAAGCGCAACCATCTGCTTCGGCTTATTCGCATTACTATTGAGTGGTAAGATGACAGTCTTCAGAAGGCTCCATCAGTCTGGACAGCCTTGGCTCGCCATTGGTGTAGGTCGACGACTTCCTCTTGGTTCTCAAACTCGCAAAAGTCTAGGTCTGTTGCGGCTCCCTTTGTGTCGAAGCGTCCAGAATTGTAGTGCTCTCGTCCACATTTTTTGGTTTGTCTTCATTTTTCCCTTTTATTTCTCTTTTTTCTTCCCATTAATGTTGAAGCCGGCCCTCTAAGCGCGTACGCCTTCTTCCCATCCCCCTTCCTTTCCTCTCTATTGCTACATGCCATTAGTCCACTTAGACGACGACGGGTAGGTCAGAAATTGACCCCCCCTCGCTAAAAGAGAGATCCGGATAAACTATCCATCTGGACTACCCCTGCACCGACGTAGCACCAAGAAACTTTCCTTATTGTACGAGACTCTTCAGCCGGGCATCCCTATATAAACATAGACGTACGCGGCATCCGCTATAGATAACTCCGTCTTAGATAGCTAATCGGCTCTAGTAAGATGTAAAATAATTAATTAATGAATTAATCATTTTTAATTATATACTCTTCTTTAGTTTAGCTACTACTTCTTAAAAAAAGCCTATACGTTAATAAGTTATTACTATATATAAAATTTTTAAAAAATTAAAAATTACTATACCTACTATAACTCTATAGTATAGGCTTATATATATATAACTAAAGTTAGAAAGTAAAAACCTACCCTCTAAAGTATTATACTATAAGTATACCTATACCTACCCCCTAGGGGGAGGCCCTACCTAACCTAGTTCTACTAGACGGCTATAACTATAAACCTAAGAAAATAGACTAAGATACCCCTATACTACCTAGTCTACTACCTACTTAACTAGCTAATAAACCTAAGGAAATAGACTAGGACTTCCCTATATACCCTATCCCCCTATTATCCCTACTAATTATTATACTAGGCCTAACTAAGAAATAGTATACTATACTAAAGAGAACTATCCTAGTAGATACCTCTAAACCTAACCCTATCTACTAAGAAAAAAGGACTAGGTTTAGATTTTATCTAAACTTTAATACTACCTAGGAGGTAATTAATATAGTACTCTCTTATATCCTATACATAATAAACCTTATATATAATATAAGTAAGAAGTAAAGACTCTATAACCTTAGTAATATCCTATAGGATTATACTAAGATAGGTTATATAGGTAATATATTATTAGTTCTTACTACTTAAGTTTACTCCCTTAAAAATACTACTTATATACTAGGAGTAAAGGTCTACTAGCTATAAAAGCTAGTTATCCTTCCTATAACCCTAGCTAACCTATTATATATAACCTAAGCCTAGAAAGTAACTACTACTAGAAAACTATATATAACTCCTTACCTAAAGATAACTATAAAGCTAGCTACTACTCCCCTAAAGGCCCTATAGGATATATAGGTTATTATCTAGTAGTAAAGTCCCTTCCTAGACTTTAACCCTCTCTCTATATAAAATAATATTAATAATACCTTTAAGAATATAGGTATATCTAGCCTAGTTATATTAATAGTAATATATATAGAGAAAGGTAACATCCTACTTACTAGCTTACCCTAGTATAACTCTAAATTCCTTACCTCCTATAAGGACCTCTTTACTTACCTATTCCTAGATACTATAGTCTAGGAGAACTAAACCTAGTATAAGGTTATTACCTATAGTATCCCTATAGAAGACCTATACTTACTTAATATTAGATAATTTATTATAGAAGAGGTCTATACCTTTAATCCTAGCCTTTCTATTATTAGAACTCTATACTAGCTTACTTTAGCTAAAAGGAGGGCTACCTAAAAAGTAGGGTTAGTTATTATAGCCTTCTATATAGTAAAAGAGGTAGAGATAGCTATCTTAAAGCTACTCTATCTTATAGGAGTAAGTATTAGGGTTATAAAGCTCCTTAAGATTACTCTAGATATATAGTATATAAAGTATTAAGCATTTAGCTATAGCTCCTCTAGGTATTATAATAGGACTAAATACTTACTATATACTAGCCCCTATACTATAGAGAAGTATAACTATAAATACTATATAAAGAGAGGCATAATATATACCTATATAGTATTAAAGTATAGTAACTATAATGGTACTTATTACTCCTAGAACCTAAACTATCCCTATTATCTAATAAAGCTATCCCCCTAGTATAAATATTAGGTAACCTTAAAGTTATACTATTAGGAATAGTACTAGAATACTATAGTAGAGTATATATATAATCTACCTTACCTACTACCCTATACTATATTTACTTTTCTATATATACCTTCTTCCTACCCCCCTTCCTTTTATTACTCTTACTTTATACTACCTATCTACTTAGATAATAGTAGGAAGGCTAGTTCTTAGCCCCCCCTTATCTAAAAAGAGCCTAGATAAACTATCTATCTATAATAACCCTATACTAATACTATACTAAGAATTATACTTTATTATATAAGACTCTTTAGATAGGTATTCCTACTTACCTTATAAATGTATGCGGCATCCCCTATAGATAGCTCCGTCTTAGATAGCCTATGGCTCTAGCAACACGTAAAATAATCAATCAATCAATCAATCAATCAATTAATCAATCATTTTTCTCAATAATATAATATAAAGTTTATTGTCTGGTTCAGAAAAACACAACAACCTCCGTTATGGTCTAGTGGCTAGGATTTGTCGCTCTCACGAATTGTTCCAAAGAACAATCGAAGCGCCGACAAGGCCGGGGTTCAATTCCCCGTGACGGAATATTCTTTTGCATCTCTCTTGCATCAGTTTAGAAGCCGGGGTGTAGTGTTCAGCTCAGATAAATTTTGCCCGTTCGCGCACAGATCACGTGACGCGCGGTGGTGGTGCACGGACTACACGCGGCGGGCGCTAGTGCGGGAGAGGCCGCCTCCCTTCGACACTGAGCACTTGACAATGATGCGAGAGTAGATGTTTCTCTTCATTTCGAAGGCAAAATGTTACGATGGCGCGCTAGACCGAAATTCGACCCCAAAAAAACCCTGATTGTATACCGCGGACGCTGCACTGAGGGAGATTTCTTTTTTTTTCTTTCATTTTCTTTTTTCTGGAGTGGCAGCAGCCAATCAGACGAGACCAACGTCGCGTGCGTGGGCGCGTGGCAGCGTGGCTGCATGATGCAATGCAATGCAATGCAATGCTATGCAAGCAAGGGAGGGAGGGAGGGTGGCGGCAGCTGCTGCGCACTGTTAAGGAGGAGGTGAGGTGGGGATATGCACCTTAGTAACTAAGGTAGCTAGCTTCCTCGCTCGTGGATGCATCCTACGCAAACAATATTTAGGAGCAGGGATGCAATGCGATGCAAAGCGTTGAATGGACGAGCATAGCATCGTAAGGGTGCAACGCTTGGTTGCTGTTACTAAAAAAATGAGTGCAATGGAATCGATGCACGGCACGGAGAGTTTGTGGTGTCAATCGTTCGAATTATTTATTTGTTTTGCTTTTTGAGATGGTTTGGTTGACGTCTTTGAGGGGTCACCGACGACGGAGAAAGAAGAGATGTGAAACTGCCGCAGATGGTGCATCTGCAGGGAGCAGCAAGGTTCCGGTGCCAAAAGAACTGGCACACACAAGTATGGGTTCCCGCGAACTGGGCCTTGAATGCTCCTTGTTGCTATCCGCTGTAGACATATGAATTACCCATTCGCGTGTACGAATGCTCCCAGTTTGCGCTCTACCGCGCAGTGTTGTGTGTGCCATGACTTTTGTCGCCTAGCTTCTGAGTCTGGGAGCCTTCGCACGCTTCTCGGAGGTTCGTAGGTTTGCGGAGGCTTTTGGTACGTAATGAGTTGTAAGTGAGGCCTTTGGAGACTGACTTGGTTCCTTGGCTTCATCACTAGGCAAGCAGTTGTTGTCCTTGGAATCCCGTGAATTTTTTGCGTTCTAACTGAAATGCCTCGCTTGCGTGATGGCCTTGCCTTTTCTGCCGTCTTTGGTTTTGAAAAAAGTCTATCGTGGGGTTTGTTGTGGTTGACATGCTGTCCTCTATCTGCAGTCCATGCCTAGAGCAGGCGCTCTCTTTTTTTAAATCCGTCTAATGTTTGGTCGTGATGTGTAAAGAAAAAATGGGCGTCAAGAAGGATAAAAACAGTTGCTGCTCTCCCCATCCCAAATCATGGTATCACAACACTCGCGCGTCCACAACAATTGTTTACTGGGGGATCAGAACACCCCTGTAACGCATCTTGCCCTCGTCGAGCGTCTTGCAGGCCAGCTCGATGCCCTCGACAGTCATGGGGAAGGTGTTGAGCATGGGCTTGACGCCGTGCCTGGCGGAGAACTCCAACATACGGCGGTGAGTGGCGCGGCTGGCGACGATGGTGCCCTGGACCGTGATGCCCGAGGTCAGGAGCGGCATGTAGGGGAGGACGAGGTCGCCGGACTCGACGGAGAGGGGGAAGAGGGTGCTGTTGGGAGCCATGATGGGGAAGTACTGAGCCCAGTCTGTTTAATTGGATGTCAGTCTCATTCTCCAATAGTCCATATGGTAGACAGGTAGACTTACCGATGTGAGCGCTGGTGCAAACGAGCAGGTAGTCGAGCTTCTTGCCAATTTTGATCTCCTTGAGGCCCTTGGTGGCGTAGAACTCGCTGGCGCCCAGGCGGAAAGCCTCCTCCTTCTTGGAGTCGGTGCCGGAGAAGACGACCACGTCGTTGCCGCGCTTGGCAGCAAACTGGATGGCAAGGTGGCCAAGACCACCGATACCGAGGATACCAACGCGGGCGGTGGAAGGGATCTTGTAGTCGTCGAAGCACGTCCAGACGGTTGCACCGCCGCACTGGAGGGGAGCAGCCTCAGCGTCCGTCAGGCCGTCGGGGATCTTGAACAGGAAGGCTTCGCGCCAGACGCCAGCGTCGGCAAAGGAGCCCTGGTCGAGGTCGGCGTAGCCAAACATGGCGCGCTCGTCGCAGTAGACCTCGCGGCCGGTCTGGCACTGGTCGCAGTGCGCGCAGTTGTCGTGCTGGTAACCCCAGCCGACGCGGTCGCCGACCTTGAGGAGCTTGGTCTGAGGGCCGAGCTCAGCGACTACACCGACACCCTCGTGGCCGAGGGCCATGTCGGTCGTCTTATAGTGGAGGTCAGTTCCTACGACCGTTAGTTTTATCCTGAGAAGGGAGCAGAGTCAACTTACCGCAGAGACCCGAGGCAGTGACCTTGACGAGAACCTCGTCGCCAGAGAGAGCGGGGCGCTCAGTCGTGGCCTTGACGATGGCACCGCTCTGGGAGCCCTTGTAGACGGTAAAGGAAGGCATGATGTAGCAAGAGAGGCGACGAAAGACAGAAAACTCTGGGTATCTCAAAGGAAACTGGCGTGCTGGAGGAGAACGAGACGAGAAGTGGAAAGAAAGATATAATATTGCAAAAAGATAACGGCGGCGTCCAAGCTGTTCACTGCTGACAAAATATTAGACAGCCTACCCATGACGTTGGAAAAAGACCCTGCACGGTCAAGGCACTAGATCCGAGAGATACGGATAGGAGGCGGATCAAGGAACCGCAGCCAAACGGCAACCAGACGGCAAACCAAAGCTGCATGGCCGGAGCTGCGCAAGAGGTCGCAGCCAACAGCGGGAAAGAATTTTCCTCAGCCCAGATTTCGGGGTAGACAACTAAAAGCGGGAAAAGAGCTCTGACAAAATTTTGAAGTGCGACTAAATTCGGTCCTGCTTGCCGGTAGGCGGGTCGTTTCGCGGTTTCAGCGGCCGGTGTTGAGGAAAAAAGACACCGGGTCTGTGGAGCCTCGACTCCAGAGGCTCGAGTTTCGTGCTCGTTGATGCCGCAGCCTCGATCAGGAGCGGCCTTGAGACTGCCGAAACGTCGGCGTGGCGGCGCTGTTTTGGTGGGAGCTCGGGGAGCTCGGATTTGGGGCGTCACCGTGTAGAAGTCGACTCTCTTGTTGCGGCAGAATAATTGCTGACTGCCAGCAACTCTGTCTTCACCGGTTGTAGCTTCTGCTGTGCTGGACTAGTTCGAGTCGCATGGTGATCTTGATCTTAGCGCGGCCCGCTGCCCGCTGCCAGCAAAACGACCAGACCTGTCGTGGCGCTGTGCTCTGGCCGAGGACCTTGGCCAATCACGGCCATGGCAAAGAAGCACTTCGTCGAAGAAAATATTTACAATCAAAACCCCGCGGCGCCCAAGGAGAAAGTTGGTCGTTCAGTAATCGGCACCGCCACGATCTTTCTCGATGGTCGGTCGAAGCTCGTGCCTCCCATAGTTGCCGCGCTTCCATGGCTGGAAAATTGATGTGCAACTGTGACGAAGGCGGCGGACGAGATGACACTGGCCGTGGCTGTGAATCGGACACGGTGGATGACGACTTGAAGGAGAGCTGGTCTTGGGTCGTCCAGTCGTCGTTGATAGGGAATGGCAAAGCATGCAGTGGCTGTTGTCCTGGTGGCCTCGGTTCGATCGACGTCAGTTGTGCTAAATTTTCACTCTTCAGCCTCGGCGCCTCCCGCGCTGCGGCGATTTTCTTTCTTCCCGTTGCTCGCTTGAAAACGTCTTGACTCGAGAAGGGAGCATGTTCCACTTCTATTCCGAGGCCCGGAGTCCGCTTCGGCTTCGCGTCGCTTCGCGTCAGTGGCTTGTTGGCCTAGGCGCTTCTGTTGGCCTTGATGCTGCAGATTTTGATCGGTGGCTTTTTTCTGGTTGCTCAGCTGACGACGTCTGCTCCCTCCGACTTCTCGACCGCCGCGCCCGCGGTTTCGCCCCTGGCCCCGCGGGGCCCAAAGCCACGGAGCCGGAAAAACTCTCAACGGCTGCCGGCATGGCTCCTTACTGGTTACATGTCACCATGTGCAAGCAACTGCAATGCTTGAACTGCTTGAAGAAGAACCACTACGTCTTGGTTCTGTTGATTGGTTGTCGCTACATAGTAATAGGACAAAAGAGACAGGAAAAGATGCCAGGGTTCACTGGCGCCCTCACCGGGGTATTCTGGGTATATCCGCCGCTGGTTGTAAATCAAAGAAAATCGTCCTGTAGAGAGCCCTCTCCACGAGGAGCCACACAGCTCCCCGCCGGTTGTGAAATCAGTCAACTTTTGTTTGTTCCTTTCCTCCCATCCATGCCGAGTTGACGCCTACCCTGGCTCAATGGCCAAGGTGTCCGTATGTTGAAAAGCATTTTCAATCAAAAAAAAAAAAAAAAAAAAAAAAGGCTGCAGCCCTCCTAGGTCGGGAGAAGGGTGATGCAATAAACAACATAAGGATCAAGCAAAATTTTGGACCAACGCCCATGCTTGAAGAAGCGGGAGTCAGAACCAGCCCGCCGCCGCAGTTGGTCGAAGCGACGGGTCAACGTCGCGCCGAGAAGAATCGAATCGATGAAGCCGAGAGAAGAGATGTAGACGGCATCACCGGTCTAGTTCCGCGCAGACAGAGTGCGGTTAAGCTGGGTGAGCCAGTTGCGGGCCGTCTCGTAGCTGCGACGGCCACGCTGCGACGATGAGCTGTCAGAACTGTCGCTGCTCATGGTGGAGCTGGCTGATGTCTTGCGGTGCGACGAGGGCTTCGTGTTGTCAATGATGTTGCCGCTGCCGCCACGGCCGGTCGAGTAAACGGGGGCGGCGTTGGCCTGGAGACGCTGCTCTTGGCGCAGCTCCTCGTCGAAGCTAAAGATGGTTCGCTCGCGGTGCACGTTGCCGGCGCCGCCACGGCCCGTCAGGAAGTGGCCGTTCGAAGGGGGCTTTGGTAGCTTGAGGTTGACGCGCGATGCT